TACTACTACTACTACTAGTAGTAGTACTACTACTACTACTACTACTACTACTACTACTACTACTACTACTACTGCCACTACCACTACCACTACCACTACCACTACCACTACCACTACCACTACCACTACCACTACCACTACCACTACCACTACCACCACCACCACTACCACTACTACTGCCTTTACCACCACCACTACTGCTACTGCCACCGCCACCGCCACCACGACCAGTACCACTTCCACTACCACTGCCACTAAGATCACCACTACCACCACAACCACCATCACGACGACGACGCCGGCTGCTGCTGCTGCTGCCGACGCTGCTGCTGCTGCTGCTACTACTACTACTATTGCTGCTGCTACTACTACTGCTGCTGCTACTATACTACTACTACTACTACTACTACTACTACTACTACTACTACTACTACTACTACTACTACTACTACTACTACTACTACTACTACTACTACGACTACCACGACTACAACAACAACTACTACTACTACTACTACTACTACTACTACTTCTACTAATGCTACTCCTACTACTACTACTACTACTACTACTACTACGACTGCTACTACTACTACTACTACTACTACTACTACTACTCCCTCTGCTACTGCATGAGCTACTGCAGCGGCTACTGTTTCTGTAAGGCTACTGTGACTGCTACTGCTACTGCTGCCGCTGCTCCTGTTGCTACTAGTACTACTGCAACCTGCTGCGGCTGCTGCTGCTGCTACTGCCCCTTCTCCTGCTTCTGCTACTGCTGCTGCCACTGCTACTGCTACTGCTACTGCTGCTGCTGCTACTACTACTACTACTACTACTACTACTCCTACTCCTACTACTACTACTACTACTACTACTACTACTACTACTACTACTACTACTACTACTACTACTACTACTACTACTACTACTACTACTGTTACTGCTACTGCTACCACTACTGCTACTGCTACGCTGCTACTGCTACTGCTACTGCAATCACGACTGCTACTGCTGCTGCTGCTGCTGCTGCTAGTGCCACTGCCACTGCCAGCTGCTGCTACTTCGACTGCTACAGCTACTGCTATTGCTACAGCTACTGCGCTTGCTACTGCTACTGCGGCTGCTACACGCTACTGCTACTGCTGCTACCGCTGCTGCTGCTGCTGCTGCTGCCGCAGCTACGACAACGAGGAGGAGGACGACGATGCCGACTGCTACGGTTTCCGTAGTACGTGGTATCATTCCGTTGCTTGATGCTCTTCGGTGTTACGTCTAGCCTAGTAGTGCTTGCATTATCCGTCATTATCCTTGGTAGTCGAGAACTTACGGTCGAACTTGAGGCGCAATGGCATTTGTTCCATGTGGGAGCAAGCTGGGACTGAAGAACGAGGCTGTGTGGCATGATTGTCTGTCTGAGGTTCAAGCAGATGACCGACGAGGGGGTGTCACCAACGAGCGCCCTGCAGACCTCTGAGATGAAGCACGAAGAGACCGCGAGTTCGACAGATGCCGGGTCCGCGTTTCCACTCCCAGTGGCGCGAACCTTCATCCACTTCCAAATCTATCCGACGTGCCAGAGGCGTTCCAGCTCCGTGCCGATTCGTGGCCGAAGCGGGAGCATGTGAAAGTCACGCTGCATTCATGATCTCGATTTGGCCAGTATGTGGTTCTTTCCATGTCAGAATTCAGGACTAATGAGAGAGACTGGGTGTGCAGACATGCGAAGCAATACTTGCTTGGACTCGCAAATAGCGGGCTGTTTTGAAGTCCTTGAGAAGAGAGGCTTGCGCTCCAGTGGCTCGAAGCCTGGCTCAGAGACGCAGAAGCTGTGCGCACTTCCTATGTCTTTCGCACGTTCCGGTTGCAAGGGGTGGTGCGCTTGGAGAGCTCAGAACTACGAGCGATTTGGGCAAATTATCCACGGGACCGCTATCAAGCCTATGAGTACCTACACAATACATTCAGTTCTGTCCCATGTGTAGAGTCCCAAATGACGATCGGTACCATCTCATTTGCCCAGATCCCTGGCACTTCCATGTCTTTGCCAACTCTCGCCAGCACAAGTCCCATGATACTTCTGCTTGGCTTCGTTTTGAGCCTGCAGCAGCGGAGCAATCTCGCAGTTTGTGCATTGCAGAGGCACCTAGAGAGTAATTATGAAACGGGCTATAGGAGGAAATCTGAGAACGGGGCCGTGATGGTACCGCGTTTAAGGGAACTTTGAGAGTCTCGGCTGGTTCAGGCACTATTGGATTTGGATTTGATGACGATCGTGCAATTAAGCTGCTTATTCTGATCTGGTCGGAGTGGCCCCAAGTGCCGCGCTGCTCGACATGCCCGACCACAGCCGCATAGCTTTGGCCGGGTCCCCTTGAGGCCTACTGTTGGATCCTAGATTCAGCAGAGTTGTCTGGACTGCCGGAAGTTAGGGTTACCTTCATAAAACGCATTACGTAGGGACTCCTAGAAGAGAGCTTCGTTTAGGTACGTAACCTTAGTTAGTTACCTTGTTTTTTGTACCATCCCCAACTTGCACAGCAGAACCGACTTGCTTTCTGCAAATTCCTCGTGCAACGAAATATCATAGTACCCAGGTTGAAGAGGTTCTGCCCAGGCTATGCAGATCGGAAGGCAGGTAATTTTTCGCTCTTCGTTTGCCTCCGCTGTTCCTATGCATCAGCGAGCAACAATCGAGCGTTTTTTCTGAGTCGGAGATACCTCAGGAGTTGGGTGCTGGGGAGAGGTAAGCATACTTCGTAGACAGTGCAATGAATGCAAGATCACCCAGTGAAATCTGGAGAGGTCTTGAGGAAGGACTTGTCTGTCCCTTTCACCAAGTTCTCCTGGTTGCCTGAATCAGGCGTCTTCTCGAAAGGCCACTGCTCCTCAAACTAGGCGGGTGTCCCACGAGCACCTTGCCTAGTTTCGAGGGGTAGCAGTACTTAAGTCTTTGCCGAAAGACGCCGCAGATGTGGTACCGGCAGCATCTTATTAAGGCAGAGCCGTGTCGCGCGACAGTGCACTGACCGAGCCTGCGTTGGGTATCTCCTGTCTTTGCCTTGAAGCGCTTCGGTGGGAGAGCTTCTAAACCCTACCAACTGTCGATGGGGGCGACAGCCTATGATCCTGCACGCAGCCCCTGGAAACACTACGCATGAGAGGCGTGGAACGTGCTGCAGGGGAAGATAGGGAAGGAGCTTTCAGCCAGGAATAGGCCAATTCGAAAGCAGGTGCAGGCATAAAGTGTTCCCGATCAAGTTCGTGCCTTCCAAACCCCTTTTTTTCGGCTCGAGCACGGCAAAGACAGAACGGAGAGTAGCTCTGAGGTCCCATAGCTACCACCCTGCGCAAGCTCCTTGGCGGAGCAGTGCTGTGATGCCCGGGCCAACACACTAATGTCACTAATGTAGTGGCCTTAATAATTACCTATACCATGTGGGGTGCCCTTTAATACCCTCCCCCCCAAAGAGAGCGGGGATCTCGAGCCGTACGGCCTGCTCCCCATTTCGGAGAGTGTTCCTGAAACCCGCAACTTCAACCCTACGGTTTGGAGTATAGGGGTATAGGGGTTGGGGGGTTTAGGGTTATCTCGAAACTTCAATAAACACTGAAACTCCCAACCTTAGAACCCGGAACAAGACGAAACTTCAGCCAGAACATAGCTTCGACCCCTCAACCTTGAGCCCCAAACCCTAAACTTTACTCAAGCATGCTCTTACCTGAGCAAGCTCTTGACTTTACGCTGTGGAGAAAGGGGCTACTGCACTTAAAAAAAAACTTTACTAAACCCTGAACCCCTAAAGCCTTAAAAACCCCTAAACGCTTGTCAACCCAAAACCCTCAACCCTGATGAAACCCTGAACTTTTAGGAACCCTAAACCCTTGTGAACCCTGAACCCCAACCCCTGAGCCCTAAACCCTTTTCAACCCTTATGAGCCCTGAGCCCCACACCCCAAACCCCACTGTCACTCCAAATCAAAGGTTAGAAGTATGCGCCCCTACTATGGGCGCCCCTCTAGCCGCTTTAAAGGACCCCAGGGTATACAGTAGGCATGTAAGGATCTCATGGTGCCTTAGACCCTAAACCCGAAACCCCCAAACCCTAAGCCTAAACCCTAAACCCCCAACCTTACACCCCGTCCCCGCCGTCACTCCAAATCTAAACCCTTCTGAACCCTAAGCCCTCAACCCTTATAGCGCACACATGCCGTTGAGCGGATGCACAGCAGAAGCGGTGCAGTCCGCAGGCGAGCTGATCCAGGTCAAGGGTCGGCTAAAGCGGCCTGGCTAGGAAAGCCTTGGTGTCGGCGTTCCTTCCCTGTACAAATTGGCCAAGTGCAGTACGAGCTCGAAGATATAAGTCAGAAGAGACACCCACAACAATCCCATCAAGACTGAAACGGATGCCGAAAGAAGAAAGATCAATATTCTGAACCAAAAGCCCTTCGAGTCCGAGGCTGCGCAAAGTGGGGCGCATCGCCCGGCGAATTAAAGACAAGCGAGCAGCAACTGTGTGTGCTGCTGGGGGAAAAGCTACCTCCGAGGAGTCGACCCACCTGCCTTCATGATTGCAAACTGGGTAAAAGTACAGACCACTGCAGTGAAGCACAAAGACCAGCTCGAGCCATGAAAGTCTATAGGCCTCGTCAGACTCAGCGTCCAAGTGGAACAAGAAGCTGCACAGCTCTCGGACAAATGATGAAGGAAGACCCGTGGTCCCAGTTTCCACGATGTTGGCCCAGTTCACTGGCAGAATTTCCTCCAGGTCTAAAGGGCGTTCAACCACAGTGCCGGGAGGAAGCAGAGGAGCAGTGTCCTCGTCCTCCGGTCCGGATGTCAATGCTCCTGCTTGGTTACAGTCGGCAACGCCAAAGAAGATGGCCCGCAGAGCCAACAGCGCCCGCAGCCGATCATCATAATAACCCAAAGCTTTCTGGTGAATCTCGCGGAAGGCAGAAGAACGGTTGTTGTTTGCCACGCCTGCAAGCACGTCCGCATGGTCATTGTGTACCGCCAGCCAGTCCTCCGTGGGACTTTCAGTCAGATGGACGTCCAGGTGCGAGGGCGTGTGCCGCACCAGAAATCGCCGCGAATCAACCTGAGACAGAAGGTCTCGCAAAGTGCACCAGAGGTCGGCATCGGCCCCGCCTGGAGCGCTGCCACATTCCTGAATGTGCGCAACACCGTTGCGGACATTATCCGCGTCAGTCCAGACTATGCAAGGATGACCAGTATAAAGCGCCCAGCGAATCGCAGCCGTCATAGCAAGGATCTCTGCTCTGGGAGCCGACTGTGTCAAACCAGGAACCTGACCACAGGCAACTGCATCACCAGTGTTGGCCAGGATTAGGCCCCAGCCGGCCAGGGCAAAGTCGCCATGACCAAACTCCGTGCAGGAGCCGTCCGTGAAGAGAAGTTGCCAACCAGACCCTGAACCTGAACTGAAAAAGCAACCCGTGGTGTCCGCAATGCACAAAAGCTGCTGTCGAAGTGCTGGCAGAAAAGGGTTCTGAGATGGCAGCAGGTGGTGAGTCAGGGAGACAGGAAGGCCATCCCATTGATCGAGAACCCACTCATGACCGAGCCGCGCCGCAGCAAAGCGAGGGCAGTGGCGAATGCGGTGTTCGACCGAATCTTCCACACCACAATGCGCACAGAGTCCGCTCTGGCACAAATCGAAGCGGGATTGTTGCTGACCACACCAGAATGCACCAGACTGGATGGCTGAAAGTCGGGCTGAGTCCAAAGCGCCAAGCGATCGCTGACTGGCGCGAAGCAATGCCCTAAACCCTGATAAACCCTTATGAGCCCTAAGCCCTCAACCCTTATAAACCCTTATGAACCCTAAGCCCTCAACCCTTATAAACCCTTATGAACCCTAAGCCCTAAACCCTGATAAACCCTTATGAGCCCTAAGCCCTCAACCCTTTTAAACCCTGATGAACCCTAACCGTCCTAAACCCTTATAAACCCGTATGAACCCTAAACCCTAAACCCCAAACCCCTAAACCCTAAACCCTAAACCCCTAAACCCTAAAACCCTAAACCCTAAAACCCTAAACCCTAAAGCCTAAACCCTAAACCCATTCCCTACTAACCAAAGGTAAGCGAAGCGCCGGTCTTGAGGCGATGTGCCGCTTCACTCCGGAGCCCGAGCTGGAGTCGATGGGTTTCACTACGCAGGCACCCGGAATCAGAGCGTTCAGGGGTTTAGGGTTTAGAGATGTTTGGAGTTTAGGGTTTAGGGGTCTAGCGGTTTGCTGGTTCAGGGGTTTAGGGTTTAGAGATGTTTAGAGTTTAGGGTTTAGGGGTCTAGCGGTTTGCTGGTTTAGGGGTTTGGGGTAAAGGGTTTGGGTTGGGGGTAAGGGGGCGCCAGGTTTCAAGGAATCGGGTTGGGACTTGACTTCCGAGGAATCGTTGATGCAGACGATGCCCGCCCCCTATATCGTTCCGCCCCCTAGTGGTGACACTAATTATTAAGGCTCCTACATTAAGACAGCATTGAAGGGATTGCCAACTCTTTTTTGAAAGGTTGTTCGGGTCTTCTGGCTCTTGGACAAGCGACTATTTCGGGCCTGTGATGCTCGTCGAACCAGCGCCAATGATGTAGCTGTCTTTCCTTTATGTCCGAATTTCCCTTTTTGCGCTTTCAGTTCAGTCTTTGGCACTGTGTGGATAGATTCCAGCGCTTGGGGTGTCGCATGGTCGACATCCTTTGTTCCACGACTTTCCGTCTCCTTGGAGTTTGCACAAAGTCTTACTAAACTCCATGCCTCGAAGGATGAAGCAGAAGTAGACCCTTTAAAGGGTACCAGAAGGGTTCCTTTCAGGGATCTATAGGGTTTAGGGTTGAGAGTATAGCAGCCCCGGCAAGATTGTGATATCGACATGTGGGACTGAACAGATCTTCGAGGCTGTCCCTTCCCTAATTGCGTTGTCAGTTTGTATTGAGAGACTGAACCAGATTCCAGGTGCTTCCGACAGCCGAGAACAAGAAGGTCCCCATCCGTGTCAAAAGGCCAGCAGGTGAGTACTTTCATGAAAGTCTGAATGCCTACTAGAGATAGACGGGAGCCCGGCTGGCTTCGGCTTTTGCAGGTTCGGTTGCAGTCTCGAGAGGTTGCCGCTCAACTCCCATGCTTTTGCCTCTGACTCTGATACTGCCAGTACTACCAGCTGACTTGACTAGCTCGTTAGGCACATGTCAATGCTCTCCCTCTTCCGTAGAGTATCGATGCACCTCGCAACTTCAACCGGAGGTCAAACGTGGAGAAGCTCATCGCGGCGGCTGTTGAAGCAACCCAGGAAGCATCGAACAACAGCTCCTTGAAGAGGCCAGGCCGTCCCCTGATCTTCAAGGAGACACGTAGCCGGAGAAGGACGGAGGGTGTTCAGTTTTCCTAAGCCTTACATCCCCTAAATCCTAAACCCTCAGCATCTGCCTAAACACTAAAACCGTAAGCATCACAGCTGCAACTAGCAAAGCAGAAGGCTGGAGGCGAGGCCGGGTTTCGGGCCATGATGATATATTCAGTTCTATGCGACATATTTTGACATGTTATATATTATTTGTGTAATATGCATATGCATACTCTATATATATATATATATACATATATATACATATATATACATATAGACATACCTGCATACATCATATGTATACCTGTATGCAGATATGCTTGTGAGTTTCCTGTTCTTCTTGTTGTTGAGCATCATATCTTTTCAGAAGCTGACTCACCAACACACGCCTTGGAAGGAGGAAGAACAGCTAGGCCTTTCCAAGTGCCCGGAATACTAGGATCCGGTGTGGTGTCGTGACGTAGCAATGCGAAAGTCGCTGTCATCGTTCGAGGAATTACAGTAGCACCATTCATTAGCTTCGACACTAACATCAGGGCGGTGACGCGTATGCAAGCCTTCGAACTCCTCAAGTTCATGTTGCACCCGACAAGAGCTGGCCAAAGCCGTGCGCTCACGCAACCGAATCTTTGTTCCGGGCCCTCGGCATTGTCATCAGCATATCCTTACATACTCATACGTATATATATATATATATGTATATATATATATGTATATATATATATATATATATATATATATATATATATGTATGGATACTATGGTAGCTTGGATAGGCGAATTCGCCAGCGCTTGCACAAAAAGCTGGGCTCCATCCTCTCGAAGAAAGACTTCGCAGCTGCAATGGACAAGCACGGGGGCTCAGGAATTCTCAAGCATTTCTGCACTGGTTGGACCTGGACATACCTGGACTCTAGAGCAGATGCTGATGCTGCAACTGCTGACACTGTCAACTGCTACGACGAGGACGACGGCACCATGGGTACTACTGCTCCTGCTGCTGCTGCTACCGCACCTGCCCCGGCGCCTGCCACTGCCGCTACCAATACCATCCGACGCCGCTGCAGCTACCACTACCACTACCTCTGGCGACGACGGTGACGGCGACCACGATAACTACTACGACTATCACGAACTACTGCGACTCGTGCGACTACTACGACTACCAGGTCTACTATGTTTGTGACGACTACGACGGCAACGTCGACAACGACGACTGCGACTACGACGACTGCGACATCAACTGCGGTCCCCGCTGCTACTGCTACTACTGCTGCTGCTACTATTACTTCTACTGTACTGATAATGCAACTACCTAGTACTACGAGTAGTACTAACAGGACGACGACGACTCCTGCTGCTGCCACCGCCCTCGTCGCGGTACTGCTGCAGCTACTGCTGCTGCTACTGCTACTCAGTACTGTTGCTGTTATTGTTGTCGTTATCGCTACCGCTACTGCTACAGCTGATGCTACAGCTGATGCTAGTGCTGCTGCTCCTGTTGCTGCTGCTCTTGCAGCTACTACTGCTACTCCTACAGCTACCACTATTACTTCGACGACCACTACTACGACTACCGCTACTGCTGCTACCACTGCTACTACCGCTGCTACTACCACTGCTACTGCTACTGCTACTACTGCTACTGCTGCTCCTCCTCCTACTCCTACTCCCACCCCTCCTACTCCTACTCCTTCTCCTAGTCCGCCTCCTGCAGCTACTACTACAACCACAACCACAACCACAACCACAACAACAACAACTACTACTACTGCTACTACTTAGTTACTACTACTACTACTACTACTACTACTACTACTACTACTACTACTACTACTACTACTACTACTACTACTACTACTACTCTACTACTACTACTACTACTACTACTACTACTACTACTACTACTACTACTACTACTACTACTACTACTACTACTACTACTACTACTGTACTACTACTACTGTACTACTACTACTACTACTACTACTACTACTACTACTACTCCTACTACTACTACTACTACTACTACTACTACTACTACTACTACTACTACTACTACGACTACTACTACTACTACTACTACGACTACGACGACTACTACTACTACTACTACTACTACTACTACTACTACTACTACTACTATATACTACTACTACTACAACAACAACTACTACTACTACTACTCCTGCTACTACTACTACTACTACTACTACTACCACTACTACTACTACTACTACTACCACTACCACTACCACTACCACTACCACTACCACTACCACTACTCTTTCACTACTACCGCGACAAATACTGCTACTGCTACCGCTCCTGCTACTGCTACTGCCTACTTCTAGTACGACTATTACTACTGCTACTACTACTACTACTACTATTACTACGACTACTACTACTGCTACTACCACCACACCACCACGACGACGACGAAGACTACTACTACTACTACTACTACTACTGCTACTACTGCTACTACTACTACTACTACTACTACGCACCCCCCTGTCCAGCCACTGGCTTAAACCGTTAGGCAAGCAGGGAAGAATACAGTAAATGCTTGAGGCTGCCGCGTTTGTCATCATGCCTCTCCCCTCCATCGCCCCTGCACCCACCAAACCCCCCTGCCACCCTGCCCCCCAGCAGTCCACTCAGCAAGAGCAGTCCTACTACTACTACTACTACTACGACGACGACCACTACTACCACCACTTCTGCTGCCACTACTACTACGACGACGACTATAGCTGCCTCGTCTAGTGAAATCGTCTACGACGCTGCTTCCATTATCGCTTCTGTTTTCTGCACAGTATGTGGTGTCAGGTGCTTGTAGTTGTGACAGCTAGTGGTGAGAATTGCACTGGTTCCTGGGTCGGGCTTCAGCCGCCAAGGCGTCTGTCCGATCTCATTATTCTTGAATTATGTGGCAAGTTGGATAGTAGGATACGAAGACGCGTTAATACGCGTTACATGCCTGTCTGTCTTAGGTTCAAGCAGATGACCGACGATGTGTCACCGACGAACACCCCGCAGACCTCGAACTCCGAGGATGAAGCAAAGCACACTGAGGCCTCGAGCTCCAAGGACACCAGGTCCGCTTTTCCACTCCCAGTGGAGCGAACCTTCATCCACTTCCAAATTTATCCGACATGCCAGAGGCGTTCCAGCTCCGTGCCGACGCGGGGCCGAAGCGGGAGCATGTGAAAGTGTTCTTGATCTCGATCTGGCCAGTATGTGGTTCCTTGCACGACAGAATTCTGGACCACTGTGGGACTGTGGGTGTGCAGACTTGCTTTACGTGCAAGCAAGACTCGCTTGGACTCGCAAATAGCGAGCTGTTTTGAAGTCATTGAGAAGAGAGAGGCTTGCGCGCCCGTCGCTCGAAGCCTGGATCGGAGACGCAGAAGCTGTGCGCACTTCCCACGTCTTTCCGCACGTTCCTATCGCAAGGGGTGGTGCGCTTGGGGAGCTCAAAACGAGAAGAGGTTGGGGCAAATTCTCCAGGACAGCAATCACTGTCCTGAGTGAACCCTCGTTTGAGTACCTACGCAATACGTTCTTGTTCTGTCCCATGTGTAGAAACCCAAACTACGATCCGTACATATCCGTACCATCTCATTTGCCCAGATCCCTGGCGCTTCCATATCTTTGCCAACTCTCGCCAGCACAAGTCCCATGATACTTCTGCTTGGCTTCGTTTTGAGCCTGCAGCAGCGGAGAAATCTCACACTTCATGCATTGCAAACGAGTATGAAATAGTAGGAGGTAATCTGATAAGACTTCGGTGAGAGTGGATGACGGATTTTTGTCCAAGAGCACTGCTGAACACCCTGCGCTTTCGCTAAGTGATTCAAGATTCTCGGCTGTTGAAGGCACTACTGGAATTTGACGACGATTATGCATTTATACTGCTTATTCTGATCTGGTCGGAGTGGCCCCAAGTGCCACGGTGCTCGAAATACCCGACCACAGCCGCATAACTTGGACCGGGTCCCTTGGGCCCATTGGCCTTTTGGACTCTAGAGCTGTAGGCGGTGTAGGCCAGCTGCGCAACAGAAGTGTTTGTCTGTCTGCATCACTGAGCCAGATGGCATGTTTGCAGGGTTGAAGAGTAAGAGGCCCTGCCCAGGCTATGCAGATCGGAACGCAGGTTGGTTTTCGGTTTTGGCTTATGCGCTCTTCGTCTGCCTCTGCTGTTCCTATGCACCAGCGAGCAACAATCGAGCGTTCTTCGATTCGGAGATACCTCAGGAGTCGGGTGGAGGGGAGAGGTAAGCCTATAGTAAGCCTAGTGCGCAGACAATGAATGCAATAGTCATATCTTGAGGAAGCACCTGTCCCGTTCGCCAAAGTCCTCCTGGTTGCCTGAATCAGGCATCTTCTTGCAAAGCCACTGCTCAATGACTGGCGGGTGTCCTACGTGCACCCTACGCAGCGTAAGGGAGCAGCAGTATTCAAGTGTTTTTCCGAGAGACCCCACAGGTGAGGCATGCAAGTCATGCCGGCGGCATGTCTGTTCTGCAAGTTTGAGAAATGGGAGAAAAGTATGTAAGGGCCCTTACCACCAAGGATCCTATAATTTGGGGTTCTACATAGCCTAGGGCGCCGAAACCCTTCATCCTTCTCTATTCGGAGTAGATGAAGGGCACCCCGACAGGCCGAGGCAGACAAGACTTGAAGGGCCGAACCGATGGCGTCTTTCCACACAGTGCGGCAATAGGGGCCTTGAGGATCAGACTAGGGGTCTATAGTAGGGTTCTAGAATAATTATAGGGGCCTTAGAAGATTTAGAGGGTATTGGGGGGTATGCTATACTGTAATTGGTAATTTTTTGACAAAGTCCCCGATACAGCTGTAGCTACACCAAAACCCTAGTCTAATGATCAAGGCCCCTATTTAAACACCGGATGTCCTATGCACCTCCTCACCGCGCAGCGACAAAGACTTTCCGACAAAATCATGAAAACGCAGGAAGTCCCTCCCTCAGCGTTGTTGTGGTCAAGCACTGGTTAGAGCAGAATCTTGGGGTCGGAATTCGGAGTGCACTCCGAAGGTTCGACGATCCTTCCCCTATAAATATATAATTACCAATACTATTTTTGGGGGGTCCTTATTGTAAGTATAGTACAGTGGGCCCAAAGCCCTATTCTAATTATTAAGGGCCCCACATTATGACTTAGAGAGACTATTCGGTGATGTCAGAGTCCGGTGCAGGGCTCCGGGATGCCTGCGTGATTGGGACTTGGGAGAGAGCAGGCTGCTCGTTCGTTTCGAGGTTTGGTTCCCGCAACACACGGACACACCGGGATTTTGCCTAAGGGTATTTAACGGATCTATAGGCTTTAGGGTTGGGAGGACTCCAATATCCCTTTATGCATTTATGTGAAATTATGCGCTGTTAAATCGACTTGCCTTCAGGCTTAGGCTTCAGCGACAGTCTGAGTCTAAGCGATCGAGCCGTGCAATCAGTTTTTCAGAGGAGACTTGGTACTGCTCTGTGCCAAGAAGACCTGTGAATGTAGTCATGGCCTCATCGGTGCAGCCTCCCATCGGATGTCCAGCACCTTCAATCGCAAGATTGGAACTTCATTGCTCAAGTATTCTTAGTTGAGCTTCACACAGCGCTCCATGTTTTTTTGACACGGTTCGGCCGAGAAGCGAGCAAATCGCAGAAGGTATCCTCCTCCCACGGCAGATCTTGACTGACTCAAGCTGCCTGCAACATCAAGCCCATGAACATCTGAACGCAACGAGACTTCACACCGGGCACTGTCACGACTTCCGCGATGCCAGGCCACGTTCGGGTGCTGACTGTTGTAGGTTTACGGACTCAGGGTGCTGCGCACGCTCGGCTTGGCATGCCGTCCCATGGTCAACGCCCACAAAATTGGGAAAGTTGCCTCGCAAGACCTGTAGATCCGCATCGGCATGGTTCCAGCATGTTGCAGCTACAAAGCTACAGAAAGTCGGCAGCCAGTAGCTCCAAGCTCTTGGCAGGTGGTGAGGCATGGGTGGAAAATCCGGAGAACTATGAGAAGGCAGGTGTATAGGGGCCGGACTATTTCATAATAGTACACCCGTATACTCTCTATATAACTATGCCAGCATGTATTGCAAAGTCCCAACATAAACCGCACTCCCGAGCATGTCGAGCCTATGTCTTCCACAGGTAAGATTCCCTCAGGTAGTTTCGAAAATCTAGATGTCCGAAAATAAGTTGGGTTCCAGCTAAGCAGATTTTAGTTTCAGCTACCATCAGAGGTATCTGTATTACCAAGTCGGGGTTCTCGCTACGTAGTTTTTAGTGTAAGTTACCATCGTAGGGATTTGTAGCTGGTAATATGCTTTCCTTCTTGTGGTAGCTTAACTTAAGTATTAAGTTCCTCCACCAGAACCCAGAAGTTCGTGAGGACTCGAACCGACACCCCGGCTCCAAACCCGAACTGCACAGGAGCTGATGCAGCGCATGCAGGAGCGTCAGGAGCTGCTGAAAGACACCCAGCTCGAGGTGAGCAAGCCTGCTGAAGGTTGCTGCAAGGGTACCATTATGGCTGCGAGTCGGGTTGGACTGTTGAAGGCTTGAGGTGTTAGGCTTCAGGGTGTGAGGGCTCAGTTTCTAGCAGAGGTCTTTGGGGTTAGAAGCTTTGTAGGATTCGGCTATGCGACACCGTAAACCTACTTCCTACGAGCCTCCAGCTGTTTGGGGGTGGAACACTCGCATGGATCTTCAAAAGTTCAGTGTATTTCGCGCGGACCCTCAAACACCTGAAGCCCTAAGCCCCCAAATGACTTCCGGGAATCGAGGCCCTTTCTTACCAGATTTCAGTCCGAAAAATCTGATTTAATCGTGCAAAATATGTAGAAGGCCATCGCTATCACTTAGATCACCGCATCAGTTGATCTCTGGTAGGTAGCAGGTAGCGTTGACGCTGACAAAAGATCGTGTGCAACATGTGTGTATTTCTGCTGGCGACCAATACTTCGCTAAAGGTAGCGATGTATGGCTGGTTTGTATCGAGCACCAGCATCGCCGCCCATGATGTACAAGACACTGAAGTGCGAACGCAGTGCTTGTCAGCCAGTACCTCCATGTCTGCACCCTCCGGGCCCCACCACTAGGCATGTGGCGAGAGATGTGAGCCTATGCAGGTCACCAAAGTGCTGGAGAATCTCCAGGCTGGGTTGTGCATGTTCTGACATCCTGGTTTAACAGGCCTTGCTAGCTGCTTGTGCAGGCACGGGGGTCTGTTGACATGCTTGATCCCCGGTCCTCCAACTTATCTTCATGAGAACCTGAATTGATGGTGTAAACTAACAGCACTTAGCTGCCAAGATTGTGTATGGTACTGTAAACTGTACGGTACTCGCGCCAAGTTGTATGGTGTCACATGTGTATCGTGCTTGGCCACCTACAAAGATTCAGGCGTGGGCCGCGGACGCAGCACGCTGCCATGATGCCCAGTCATTAGGCCCCCAAGCCGCCTATCAGAGTTTGAGCCGTAGGATTGCATTCGATGTTTTGCAGGTTACAGGTTTGGTCCTCATTGTGTTGAGGGATGAGGCTATCGGGCTTATGCAGATGGCGGTGTAGTTTTATCTTGGAAGGGGGGTTGTGGGCAGGGGGTTGGGGGAAAAGAGGGGGGTTTCTAGAGTTTGACGGCTACAACAGCGAAGGGGTTGTGAGGGTTCGAGGATTGGTTCCTGTTTCGGCTTCAGGGTTTTGGAGCTTGTGGCCTGTGTGTGGTTTTGGATGTCGGACTTGGGAGGTGTAGCGTTAATTTATAGGGTTTGTGGGGTGTGGGTATCTGCCCCTGGGCTTCCTGTTTGTAGATTTCGGTGCCCGTTCGGGTAGAAGGCAGAGGCCACCCCGTCGTGCATGACATCTTACTCAGGTCTACAGAGATTAAGATGTGCAGCTCTCCCTACTGCTTCCCCAGCTCCACACCCCGCCATAAAAAAGATCTCAGTAGCTGAGTGGATACACTTTGGACTTTTTGGGGTAATATTACCCACTATAAAACTGAAAGTGTACACTTTTTGGGGCTTATGAACTCAGCAACTAAGAGATACATGGAGGTTGCCGGGCATTCCTTCAGCCCTGGCTGCACAGGCTGGGCGCTCTCCTCACTGGACGTGGCCGGTGGTGATGCCGAGCGCTGTGTGGCAGAGGGCGCAGGCTGCGATGGGGGGAGACTGGGGAGGACGAGCCTGTATAACATTCGATATACTATAGTAATTATGTATGGTACAAGAAATGGTGTAGTATAATCTTCGGTGTACTATAGGAATTATGGTGTATGGTACACCATGTTATGTAATATAATGCAGCTTCGGATTCGGGTTCTTCGGGTTGAGATCGGGCGACGCCCATCCTCACCCTTTTGCAGATGAGCCTCTGGAAGTAGCTGCTAGGAGGTCTGCTAATGTAGGAACCTGGTTAAGAAACCTTGGGCCTTTATGAGGGTTCTGTATCTGAATCCTACTATTTTGGGGTTTTAGGACCGGGGTTTCTTAATCAGGTTCCTACATTACCTGACTTTGTGAGGTCCTTGCTAGGAGCAGCCATGACCCTCAAATCGGGCACCTATATACCAGGCAGCCAGAATTTCCACATGAGGCTTACAGATTCGGTGTCGAGGCTTCGGGTTTTAGGGTTTAGGGTTTAGGGCGAAAGGCTGGGTTTCAAGATGTACAGTGTTGAATCTGAGTTCAATTATTCGGGAAGCTTCGTACTGGCTTGCAGCCTAGACCCGGAACATTCCGGAGCATTCCGAAGCCATAAACAAGTTTTAATACCGAGCTTGCGATGGGAGGTGATGGCAGCCTCCTTCACGTCTGTGCTCGCTCCTCCGGCAAATGCCTGAGCCTCCGGAAGAATCACTTTCTAATAAATAAATAGATAAATACATAAATACATAAACATATATATATATATATGGTACATGTATACATACATGAAATACAACATACATACATACAGACATACCTAAACACATACCGCGTACATACACACGCAAAGACACACAGACACACAGACATACAGACGTACAGACATACAAACATACAGACATACAGACATACAGAGACAGGCAGGCAGGCAGGCAGAAAGACAGACTGACAGACACCTACAGACATACAGAGACAGGCAGGCAGGCAGACAGACAGACAGGCAGGCACACCCAAGCACAAACGCACAGTTGCACACAGATGCACACGCACTTTATATTGAAGTCCGGGGAGTTGACCGACCCGTATGCCCCAGAGAGAGAGAGAGAGAGAGAGAGAGAGAGAGAGTGAGGCGAAGACAGAGGGGGAGAGAGAGAGAGAGATATGATGGGAGGGGATGACGAGGCCGGGATGCGTGGGTGCTGGTTTCGATCGAGGTAACTTTTCGCACAATAAAACAGGCGGTGACGGCTACGACCCTAGCCCCTACGCCCAACAGACAGAAAAGTTTGTTCAGAAATAAAGCAAGTTTACAGGCTAAAGGAGCATGACAGATTGAACGCTGCACACATGCGATCAGGTTTGGCAGCCAGCCGCGGAGGCTGGGTGCCTGGAAGTCTGCACCTCAAACCACGAACAATCGAGACCTGCAGCCGAGCTAATATAGGGGCCTTCATAACTACCTGGGTTCCTTATTCTAAGTATAGTATAATGGACCCCAAAGCCTTATTCTCTAATTGTTCATGCCTCTATAGTAAATATGAGCACCGCAACACATCACAAAACTTTGGACCCGGATTACGAAGCAGCCCGGAATGGTAGTCTGGAGGCTATTGAGCTCAAGGACAGGAGGATTCCAACAAAAAATCGAAGCCAGATCCGGTGGCCCCACATCTTCATACGGCCCCTCCACTTAAACCCTAAACATCCCTAAACCCCAAAGTTTGGGGCACTTAGCAAGAGTCCTTTTTGGGGGTTCCTATATTCCCGAAGAAACAGCTAAAATGATGATTTTTGCCAGGGGTCTTAGTTCAGAATAGCCAATCCGAAACCCTAAACCTACTTTCAACAAAGAAGGCAAAATCCTAATAACCCCTCTCCTGTTTCGATGTTTGGCGGAAGTCCGGGCAGGGCGAGGCTCGCATGGTGCCCGTTCCACGGCTCGGGCCCTCGTCGGCTGGGGTCCGGCTCCTGGAGATTCGTCGAGGTTTCGGCTTCGCCTTGATATAGGGGCCTTAATAGTTAGAATAGGGTTCTGGGGTATATTATGCGAAAGCTATAATAAGGACCCCCCACAATAGTATGGGCAATCATTCAAGCTCCTATGTCAACCTACCAAAACCCACTTTCTGGGTAGCTTCTCACTATCTGGCTATGGAATTGGTAGATCGGTTAAGGCAGGCTTTCGATCTTATGGGCTCGGGGATGGAGAATGCGAGGTTTGCAGCTTCGCTTTAGAAGCGTAAGGTAAAAGCCAGAAAGTTGGAATATGATTATCCTAAACCCTTCTATGGTAAATTATAGGGTATCCTACCCTGAAACCATATTCCAACTTTCTGGAGCCCTTTAAGCTTTCCACATCAGCACATTCAGACGTGGCCTTCTGCCTTAGCTGAGGGAGCTGGGTCATAGTCTCAATGTTACCCTAAACCCTAAACCCTAAGATGTCAATCCCCTAGCCATGAAGGCCCCAATATTTTTAAAGTTAAAAAACCTAAACCCTGAACCCTAAGATGTTCATCCCCTAGCCATGAAGGCCCCAATATGTGTGCTGCTGGGGAAGGTGCGCAGCCGGACCAGCCCGATCCATCCGGTGAGCCTGGAGCCTGGCGGAGGGTCAGGGGGGGGGAGGTTTAGGGTTTTTAGTTTAGTAGGGTTTTTGGTTTAGGGCTTAGGGTTTTTGGTTTAGGGTTTAGGGTTTAGGTTAGGGTTTAGCAGGGTGAAAGTAAGTTGCCAGCTTCAGAGAGTCTGCTAGCAGGTGCTGTTACACCTGTTCCCGCTCCTTTTCGGGGGTTTCCAGGAGCTTGGAGTTCAGGGTTGACATGTTGAGGGCCTCTTGAAGCTGAAGAGTTCCATGCTCTTCTTTTGGGGGTCCTTGACAGTGGGCGTGAGACCTTCTGAGACCTATGTTTGGGCTGTGAGGCTTCAGGGTTTTGTGCTGCCTCGAGTCCAGAAGGGCATGTCCGCTCAGTTCGGCAAAAAGGCGCGCTGCAAAGGCCTCAAGGTTCCAGGTCTGAATGGTCCTCGACCTTGACGATCGTAGTGGTTAGGATTTCCGGACACCAAGAAATCTAACCTCATGGTGCATAGTCTTGCGAGCAGGGAGGGATGGTTTTTGCACCACACGATAGACACCATGAGTCGGCATCCTTGTGTCCTAAACACACCCCGTACGCGGCAGACGCAAAGCTGATGACGAACACCGGATCATGTTCTGCTGGGTGCGAGTGCATCTCCGCAATGTCCATGTTATCCACAGGCCGCGAGTTCCAAAGCCCAAAGCCTTGAAGCGCCCCCAAACCTTAAACCCTGCAGACCCCAAAACCCCGAAAAGCCCCAACTAAGACCCATAGGGCTCAGCGAGCTTCTGAGGACCCCCTTGCAGCTGGCACTGCGGCGGCCCCTGGGCGGCGCCGCGGCGAAGGAGCCCGCCAAAGCGTTGCTGGAGGCGCTCCGAGTTCTCCGGAGAAGAAGTTTTGCTTGTTTACTTATTGTTGCTCTGCTCATCATCGTCATCATCATCATCATCATCATGATAGTTGTAGTTCTTATTATGGCCTTTACGACTGCTGCCTCTAACTTCGTTATCATGATTGTCATTTTGTATAATCAAGCGCACAAATCCGTTAACAAATCATCAAACCAGCAAATAAACAAACCTGTTTCGTTGTACACGGTTATGTCAAACATTAATATTCATACGCAAAAACTCCACTTGCCGTTTTCCTGGCTGCGCTTGCTTCCGTTTGGGGGACAGACGATCGACATTCAAAGGCCAGGTATGCAGAATCTTAGTGAGTGGGAGCCTGGGTTTAGTTTCGGTGACTCAGGTGCATCGTTCTTGAAGGACCCATGAATATGGGAGTTTCCGAAAATAGGGGGCCCTAATACAGTACCCTAAATAGTAGGATCCTTATTACAAGGACCCCAACATAAGGTACCCCTAACTTTCGGAAACTCCTATGTATGCTGTTGACAGCAATTCCTCGACTCCAGGGCCGGCTACATGGGAGTTTCCGAAAATTAGGGGCACCGTATCTTGGAGTCCTCAGAAAATGGATCCGACTGTTTGGGGTACCATCTTCGGGTCCCCTGTTTTCGGAAACTCCTATGTATGCTGTTGACAGCAATTCCTCGACTCCAGGGCCGGCTACATGGGAGTTTCCGAGAATTAGGGGCACCGTATCTTGGAGTCCTCAGAAAATGGATCCGACTGTTTGGGGTACCATCTTCGGGTCCCCTGTTTTCGGAAACTACCAAATCTATGCCATGCTTCCTTACACCCCTAGACCATCGACCCTGAAGGCTGAATCAATAGATTTTTTTGAAAAGAACATGTTTTTTAGAAAAAACTTAAAAACATTTTTTATATAATCTAAAGCCGCACTTCACACCCTTACATAGACCCGGAAGCGTGAGGTCAATGCTGACCCAGATCAGATTTCTCGGCCGGGGACTGATGAGACCTTGCTGATGGAGGCCTGAGGGACTTAGGGTCCGGTGTTGAAGATTCAGGAGGGTTCGTAGATGAGGATGTGTTCTTTTCATGTCCGTAAGAACTTTTTGGGGGACGTCTCAAGCCCTAAACCTCAAACCTTAAGCCCAGATTGGCGTTTGAGGTTCAAGTTATTGCTTGCGGTGTAAGGCTTTGGATTTACGGTAGGAAAAAACTAGGATTGAAGATGAAGGGTTCAACGTGAGCGACCCAAGGAATAGCTATAGTCATATTATGTTATGTTGTATTGCGCTGTGCATCATGAGATATGACACTATGTGATACTGTCTGCGTCTGCAATGTACGTATAGGGTGTCTGATAGCTTCAATGAGAGCAATATTACGAGAGGTTTCGAAGCTTGAGGATGGGCTTGGCCTCATCGGAATCTGTTCCATGTGGGTTGATCCTAAATCGTCTATCGTATGTTTGGGTTCCGGCTCATGCCAATGATGTTGATGACGACGATGATGTGGTTTGACTTTTAGATGGCCATGGTCGATGAGATGATGATGAGTAGAAGCAAGGATGGACATCATGATGCTATCGGCGATGGTGACTCCGAAGAGGATGGCGAGTATGAAGAAGATGGTGTCGTCGATCATGCTGCTGCTGCCGCCCATGATGATGGTGATGATGATGGCGAGGGTAGAAGATGGTGTCGTCGATCATGCTTGCTGCCGCCCATGATGATGGTGATGATGATGGCGAGGGTGTTGATGATGGTGACGGTAGTGACGGTGCTGATGGTGGTTATGACGATGGTGATCACGATGAGTGTGATGGTGATGATGACAGAAACAAAGATGATGCTGCTAATGACGATGATGGTGATGACCATGACGAGGTGGAGTGGGCAATAGTTGCGGAGGGTGATGGCCAGGATGGTGAGATGATATCGATGATAAGCATTATGACGATGGTAATGGTGATGATGTCCAGTCTTCGAAGCCGGCGTCGTCGTCATTGTCGGCGGGTTCGTCGTAGCAGCAGCAGCAGCAGCAGCAGCAGCAGCAGCAGGAGGAGGAGGAGGAGGAGGAGGAGGAGGAGGAGGAGGAGGAGGAGGAGGAGGAGGAGGAGGAGTACTAGCAGTAGTAGCAGCAGTAGCAGTAGCAGTAGTAGCAGTAGTGGCAGTAGTAGCAGTATCAGTAGTAGCAGTAGTAGTAGTAGTAGTAGCAGCAGCAGCAGCAGTAGCAGCTGATACTGCAGAAGTAGCATGCGGTGATCTTAGCAGCAGTAGCACTTGCGGCGACTCGTAGTCGTAATTCGTCGTAATTGTCACACCGTAGTCTTTGCGGCGTGCCCTCAGACTCAGGTTCGATTGCCCGAAGCCGTACCAAAACCCCCGAAAATTGAGCTTCTACTTCTGGTTCTTACCACTCGTTCTGCTGCTTCGCCTGGAGGCCGCACGGGAAGGCGATTTGGCGACGTGCGAGCCTGGTGCCAAGGATCTTTCCCAGATCCGGGCATCCCTCGCTCCCAGCGCTTAAGGATGTTTTAAGGCTGTAGGGGAGGGGCCTGAATAATTAGAATAGGGTTTGGGGATATATTATACTAAACTTATAATAAGGAAACCCCCCCAAAACCTTTTCTAACTATGAGGCCCCTACATCATCGGCCCGGGAAGTCCCAAAAAACTGGATATGTCCGAATCTTCGTGCCCGCTGAATTGCAAGTCGAGGTTTCGAACCCTCCCTATCTCCCTACAGTACTACAGGGGCCATAAACCTATACCGTTTTGGGGGCTCCTCATTATTGTTATCTTATAATATCCCCCAAAGCCCTATTCTAATTGTTAAGGCCCCTGTATTCGGGACATAGATTGCCATGAGTTCACTGCATTGTGGACCCTTTCAAGCCCTAAGCTGCATCCTTGCGAACGAACTGAAGGTTGCTCCTTGAACACCGTGCCGATCCGCTGAAGCGGCGGGGCGATGGCCATACAGCTGCGGCCTTTGCGAGCCCTAAACCCTAAACCCTTGGGGTTTAGGGGCTCGAGGGCCTTCGGGTCTTGGTTGAAGGGTTTCGGATTCACTCACGGTGATCTTGGAGCCACCCCTAAATTTGAGCACCTTGGTCCCTTGATCTTCCATTCATCATAGAGCGTGGCTTCTGCATGTTCCGGGGGGTTTTGGACAAAGGCTGCCGAGACTGAGAGGTGTGCGAAATCTACTTGACGGAACACCTCTGGGCTGATGGAACGAAGGGAACGTCTCAACGGAGAATCGAAGCCCCCTGGCCCAGGCCATCACCCTTGCATCCCGACCCGGCTGCTCACGACAGGCCCTGCATAGAGCTCGGAGTGAGGGATGGTTCTTAGGGTCACGTTTGAGGGAGTTTGGTGGCTTTTAGGGATCGGGCTCTCGGCTTTGTCGTCGGGCTCAGGTGTTTCTTGAAGACCTTGCTCCGTTTAAGGTGCTCAGAAGAAGCAGTGTGTCAGAGGAAGAGCTCCAGAGTAGACCGAAGTCTAGTTTGCTTGAATCTGCTAGAAGGCATCACTTTTCGCGTCCTTGGGGTTGTAGGGCGGCGTAGGGTTTTGTCGCGCAACAGTCTCGGGCGTTTCGACTTTCCGTTTTTACGGTGTGAAGGATTAGTTTAAGTCAAGTGTCCTGGGCAAATACGCCAAAAAGATCTCATGTCTAGTCTAGAGTGGCCTGCGCGCGACTTGCGACTGGTGGTGAAGCCTTTCGTTCGGTCTGCCCTTCGTGTGCAGTTTTTCCACAGGTCTCCCACTTTCCTTCACAGTATCCGAAGAACGTAGATATCCAAACCTAGTTAAGGCCGACAGCCATGAACCTTGACAATGGTATCTGCAATGATGCTGCTACTATGTGATATCAGGCTAAACACTTTCGACATCTGTACTGACTAACAGACAAGACCAAGCCTACTTACTCAGACGCCAGGAAGAAGCATAGCAGTTGGTAGTCAGGAACCGTTAGCGCCTCGACGCCCTCAACCCAGCCGGGGAGGTCTTAATGACGCTGCGGAGCGCTCTGACAAGGGACTTGGCACAAGAGCCAGGGCCACGACCGAAGATGCACATTGAGTGATCGCGACGGTGATGGCGATGATCATGACGATGGTGGTGATTTAGTGGTGATGATGAAGCTCGTTTTGGTGGTGACGGTGATGACGACAATGACAATGACTATGATGATGATGGTGGGCATGGTGATGTTGCGATGATGATGATGATGTTGATGATGATGATGATGATGATGGCGATGGTCATGACGATGACGGAATCCCGCTGGACAGTTCCGAGCAACTACGGGTGCCACAAGGTTGTTGTCGCATCTCGAAATCTGTTTGAATCAAACTTCGTTTCAAGGAGTTTTCGAGCACGACCACGATCCAAGTATCTGCCCTCATAGGACACTAATCGCCCCTTCTCAGTTGTGGCCATCCAGTTCCCCAGAACCTTGGCAACGAAGTGAGCGACTTGTCAAATGTCGAGATCTGGCAGACTGGTCGGGATGCGCTTCCTCCTCAGATTCCCATGTGTGGTGCTGCTTAGCGGTGTTATCACTGAAGGTCCGGCGATGAGACCCCTGCGACTGCTTCGCATCCGCGAGCTGGCGACAAGCTCAGATAGCTTGGCATACTGCCTGCGCATTTCACTCGCCCATGCTGTCATGCATCGGAGTGCACTGAAGTTCTTACTAGGTACGCTTACTACATATATATCTATATACATATATATATGCTCGCCCCCCCCCCGTTGACAGACCACGGCCTTGTGACACTGTACTCTTGGCAGGTGACTCGGCTGTGATATTGTATCTACTCACACCACACCCGACGATAATCTGTAAAGTAAGACCTTTAAGTAGATATACAACGTATACTTTGACATGCCATGTACTGAGGACGCATGCACCAGACGTGCGGCACATGAGTTACGTAATAGTTTTGTGGTAGTATCGGTTTTAGGGTGAGTATTATTATTATTAAATATTAGTACTATTGTTTGCTGTAAGTATACATATCATATTGCCAACTACAAATTAGTGTTAGCGCTCATGTTCGTGTTAGAGTTAGCGCTAGTGCCAGTGTCAATGTCAGTAATACAGCACCACTGCTACGAGTAGTATCAGTATCAGTCTTAATGCTGGGTTAAATAGCAGCTAATATTCGCAGAAGTGCTAGTATTAGTACCAATATTAGAACTAGCTAGTTTTGATATGTTAGTATATTGACAGTCTCGTATATTAGCAGACTAGTATATCAATACATCAATGTATTCGAACAGTAAAATATTTGCATACTTGTATACTAGTAGATTTTACATGTTAGTACAACTGGTGCATGAATACACTAGTATATAGGTGTATTAGTTTACGAGTATATTAACATACCAGTATATTCGTACGTTAGCATATTAGTATACTAGTATGTGTGCTATATTCGTGTATTGTCCAATCATTTATAAGTATATCAGTATGTTGGCATATTAGTATACGAACTTGTCATGTCGGTATTCTTGCATATTGCAGTAGTCGTATATCAGTATAGTCACGTATTAGTCATACAACAGCGAGAAGTATATTGTTACATTGGTATATGGGTATATGCCTATGCCGAAGCATTAATACATGAATGCACTAATGTATATATCTGTATTTTAAGATAGTGGTATGTATTTTATGTACATTAGTATATGCAGGTGTCTATTAGTAATGATATTAGTTTTCATATCAATATGAATATACTATTGGTATTCGTAGGAGTATTAATGTCAATATTGTTAGAATTAGGACTGTTCATACTCGTATTAGCCATAATATGAGTGTTCATGCTGGTAATACTAGGGGCATTCTTGAATATTCAGCAGATTATCAAAGTCCGTATTCGTGTTGGTGATAGCACTACTGTTAACACACAAGAGTGTACGTATTCGTAGTCGCAGGAGTATCAATAGCTATGTAAATATTGATGTTAGTATAAGTATTGTGTTAACTATTATCAGTAGTGTTAGTGTTAGTACTA